CCTGTTTCCGCTGCCACTCCAGAGGGGATGCTGGACAGCAGGAGAAGAGGTGTGTGTGTCCGCCTAACAGACCGGGGCCGCTGCAGGGCGGGAGGGCCCCTGGGGAGGCCAGCCAGGCGAGGAGCAGGAGCAGCGGGCCTGAGGTGTCTGTGTGGAGACCCGTCGGCGGGCCCTGAGCCCTCTGTGCAGGGACAGCTGGCGCTGGAGGGGAGGAGGGCGCCGCCTCCGCCGGCCCTCGCAGCCCATGGCCGCCTCCTGGGGACAGAGGGAGCATGGGGGGCCCTGACCCTGACGGTGGAGATGGCGGGACCTGCAGGGCACAGCGCGTCTCCGGGAAGAAAGAACAGTGACCGCAGAGAGCCCGCCCGCTTGGAGGGGTCTCGCTGTCCACCTGTGCTGTCCACCTGGGCGGACGGTGAGACCACAGCTAGGCCTCCCTCAGGGGGCAGGGGGCCAGGATCCTGGGGACACTCGGCAGCACAGTGTCCTTTTTTCCAGCCCCGGGTGACGGGGAAGCTGTGTGGGTGGGGGGTCCCTTGGGAAAAAGCCAGGTGGGGCTGTCCCCAAGAGCTCCCGTGGCTGGAGCCCGAGTGGCTGAGTTGGGAGCCCCGTGAGGTCCTCTCGGCGACAGAGACCTAGTTGCTGATTTGGTGTTGGTTTTGCGGGCTCCTGAGTTTGCTGGTGGCTGAGAAGTCCTGCTGCGCGCAGCCTCGGTGTGTCCTTGAGGCGGGCACTTAGGCACCACGGAGGCCTCCGCGGCTGCCTCCTGGGGACAGAGGGAGCATGGGGGGACCTGACCCTGATGCTGCCCGCGGGCAAGGGGGGTGGTGCCCCTGCCCTGTGGTCCCTCGGGGTGACGGCCTCCCACTGGACAGGCTTCCTGGCATCACAGCCCAGGAAGGCTGGGCCCAGCCTGGCCTCCCTGGGAGCCGGTGCCGCTGCCCAGCCCTGTGGAGGCACAGCCGGCCTCCTAGGCCTCCGAGGCCTCGGGCCCCCCCACAGATTCGACGGGCACAGCCCTGGGTGGGCTCCACTCCTCTGACCCACCCTGCGCCACCCAGGCCCCAGGCTGCCCAGGCCAGCAAGATGACCTCTCCTTCAGTGACGTCCACTGTCATTCCTGTCACCTCTGACCCCCTTTTCAGAGGGGCTTTCTGTGGGCGAGTGTGAGTCCCTCCAGACCCCACAGGCCGGAGTGCAGTGCCCAGGGCTGGCCTCCCGTGGGGACTGAGACCAGCTCTCAGGAAGCAGCTGAGCCCCCAGCTGCTAGGGGCCAGGTCCACTCCAGGTTCTAGTCTCACAGCAGGAGGGAGGACCACCTCCTCGTGGGTCCAGAGCAGGAGCCTCTGGGCTGCTGTGCTCAACACTCAGGGGAGCCATTCCCCTGTGGCGGGATGTGCAGTGCCCTCCCTGCACGACTGTACCTGATGGCCAGTGGTAGGGCAGGATTTGTGTGGCTGCCAGCCCTCAGGGGGACTATGAGAGGGCACTCAGTCGGGAGGAGTATAAGGTGGGACTCAGTGCGCCCTGGGGGTCTCTGGGCCCTGCCCTCAGAGGCTGGAGAAGTGCTGCAGCCCTGGAGCCTCTGGCCTAGGGGTGGAGAGGAGCGGAGCTGTGTCCTTCTGTCCGTCCATCCCTGGCTCTTGTTGTCCTGACTGTTCTCTGGGCAGTTTCTGCTCCTTTGCTCTTCCTCCCAGTGTCCAGTCCCCTTTTAGGTGAACTTGCCCGACTGCAGCGGCTCCTCTACCTGCTTCTCCGACCGCCTGGTGCCCGGGTGCGGGGTCGGACCAGGGGGCAGGGCGGGAGGGCGGCCCCAGTCCCCGGGCAGAGGCTGGAAGGGAGGAGCGGTGACATGACCGGATCTCCGCTGCAGGGTGCAGGGGGGCCTTCCGGGACCCTCTGGGTCCTGTCCTGGACCCCCTTCAGCTCAGTGCCCCCTCGGGGACGGGCAGGCGATGCCACCCTCCGCCCTGCGCTGTGATCAGGACGAATTCCCTCCCTGGTGTGGGGTCCTTCCTGGTGGCCTGCCGCTGCCGGGAGGCCAGAGCGGCCTCTCCTCTCGGGTCTCCACCTGGAGGCAGCCTGGCCACCTGGGAGGCCCCCGGGAGGCCGCGTCCCTCCTGCGTCTCCGAGGCCACAGAGCCTCTCGGTTGCAGGCCGAGTGACATCAGGGGGCTGGGTGGGCCCTCGGCGCCTCGTCACAGGGCGGGCTTCTCCTCGAAGCCCCTCCTCCAGGACAGGCCTCCAGCCAGGAAGCAGAGCCTGGGCCACCAGCACTGGACGGGGGGCGGCAGATGGCTGTGTGAAGCCCTCTTGTCCCCGCAGGGAGAGGTGGTGCCACATGACGCAGGAGGAGCGGGACGACAGCCTGCGGTTCCACGAGAACATCACCTTCGGGCAGCTGGGGTAAGAGCGGCGGGCAGCCGTGGGCTCCGCACCCAGAGTGGAGGACTGAGGCCCTCTGGCCTCCCTCCGGGCACCGCGGGGGCAGCTCCCAGTGCTGGTGGCTCCCGAGGTACCTGTGCTCTGCCTCTGGCTGGCCACCCGGGCGGGCCCCACGCGGGACCTCCGGCCCAGGGGGTGTCTCAGGTCCCTCCGCAGCAGGAGCGGGAGGTGACGGCCGTGTTCCCTTCCAGCACCTTCACCCACAACATGCTGGCCTTCGGGCTGAGCAAGACGCTGTGCCGCGAGTTCCTGAAGAAGCAGGCTGTGATCGGCCACCTGGACGAGGGTGAGCCGGGCCTGGCCACCGCCGGGCACCTGGGGGCGGGGAACCCGGGCGGGTTCAGGTGGCCCCTCTTCTCTCCCAGGCCATGCAGACAGGAAGTCCCCGCGTCTGGAGACGGGGCGGCAGGGTGGACAGGGGCCGTGTCTGGAGACGGGGCGGCAGGGTGGACAGGGGCCTCCTGCTCCCCCGCCCAGCGAGGGTCGGGGGTGAACCTGTGCTTGGCGCTCTGAGCCTGATCAAACCCAGCCACGGGTCCACCTGATGGCCCCCTGTGGTTCTTGAATCCCACCCTCAGAGCCGTGCAGGGTTGCCACAGCCCTGTTCCAGCAGGGGCAGGGGCACTGTGTCTTCTGGGGTCCCCAGGACATAGGCTGGCCATCGCGGGCCTCTGAGGCTGTCCTCCATAAGAGGACATTCCTAGGCCCACTGGAAACCGTGCCCGCAGTGTGCTGGTGCCGAGCTGATCACCAAGCACCCTGTGCACAGCCCTACCTGGAGGGCGGCAGAGGGCCCACAGTGCCCTGGAGGGGGCCCGTGGCCGGCCCTGGGGGAGCTGTGGGGCGCCTGACCTGGCCACCCCTCTCTTCACGGTGACCTCGTCTTCTCTTCCAGAGCAATATAAGCTGCTCAGTGACCACATTGAGCAGATGGCCACTGAATAGGAGACGGAGGGCCTGTGCTACTGTCCAGGGCAGCCACTGGCTGTCCCCACCTCCAACCCTGCATGACACCAGCGGCACCCGGGGCTGCGCCGCGCAGCCCTGGAACTAGCGGTTAGAAGAACCCGGCTGCCGTCCTCCCCTCCCTGCTGCCTGCGTCGGCCCCATCCATGTGCCAGAGTGTCCCTTGGGTCACATGGCTACAACGAGGGACCTCTGCACCCTCAGTGCTAGGCTGGGAGTGGAGAGGGCGAAGGAGCCGCCTCCGCACCCTGCTGAGGGCCAGAGGGGCAGTCTGGGCTCGGAGGTGGACGAGTGTGTGGCACTGCAGGGCCGCGAGCGAAGGCTGGGCACCATGGCTGTGGGACAGTCCTGGAGGCCACCAGGGCAGGATGGCCGGCTTCCCTGTGCAGTGGACTCTGCTCGCTCTCTGTCCCCTCTATGATGGGAACAGGAGTCACAGGAACCAAGAGGACAGACACGCCCTCTTTGAGAGAAGGAGAAAGAGACGCTCGGGTAGGGGACACTCCTGCCATCCCAGGTCACCCAGGGGTCTCAGCCTCCCAAATGGAGGGCCGCTGAGCTTCTAGAACTGAGGACGTCCCCAGTGCCCAGGAGCCACGCCGTGGTCTGTCCCGTGAGAGGAGCTTGGGCAAGAGGAGCCTCGCAGCAGCTGGGCAGTGGCGTCCTTCCCGGAGGGACGGCCCCGCGCTCCTGTCATCGAAGGCAGGGACATTGAAGACTCGGGTCGTTGAAGCAGCTCTAGCGAGGCTGCGGCGGTGGGCAGCGTGGACCCTCAGCTCCGAGCTCTGAGCGCAGGCCTCCACCCTACAGCCTCCTCTGGGAGCCGCGGGGACCTCTGCAGCCCAGCCCGGGCCTCCGCGTGGCTCTCCCTCCTGCCCTTCGACGCCCTTCAGCCACAGCCAGGACCTGGGCTGCCTCTGCATGTGTCAGGCCACCTGTGGGGACGGGGTGCAAGCCCCAGCGCCCGGCGTGCTGCCCCAGGCCTGCTGTCCCCCGTGTGGACAGTAGCCGGGCTCCCTCTGCCTCTGGCCGCTGCTGTTATGGCCACTGACCTTGACGCCAGCCGTGGGCTCCTCCTGGGGCCCCTCTTCCCTCGTCCCCCTCAGTGCACAGACTGAGCCACGGGCTCCCCCCAAGCACCACCGGCCCAGCCTGATGGTCACCCTGATGGTCACCCTGATGGTCACCCTGATGGTCACCCCTTAGTGCCCAGGAGCCTCGGTCACCTGCCCTCACCAAGCTGCCCTGGAGGGGCCGGCCCCGCCAGGCCCCCAGGGTGACGTGGAGGTCTCTCCTGGGTGTCACCAGTGTCACTGAACTGTGTGGGCTTCGCGGCGTCCACGACACCCACCTGTGTGTGGAGGA